GGACTTGCTCATGGTGTTGCTAAAGAACCTACAAGAATCAATTTGGATGTTCCTATGCCAGAAATATTGAAACAACTAACTGTTCTTCCAGTAGAATCACCTGTATTATTAAGTGGTACTATTATTGTTGCAAGAGACATTGCTCATGCTAGAATTAACGACATTTTAAAAGAAACAGGGGATGTTCCACAATATATTAAAGATCATCCAATCTATTATGCAGGACCTGCTAAACAACCAAAAGGTTATCCAAGTGGATCATTTGGTCCTACTACTTCTGCTCGTATGGATCCTTATGTTGATGATTTCCAAGCTCATGGAGGAAGTCTTGTAATGATAGCTAAAGGTAATAGAAGTGAAATGTTAACTAATGCCTGCAAGAAACATGGTGGATTTTACCTTGGAGCAATTGGAGGTGCTGCTGCTTTATTAGCTGAAAAGAACATTAAGAGCATTGAGTGCATTGCTTTTGAAGACCTTGGAATGGAGGCTGTATGGAAAATTAAAGTCGAAGATTTATTGGCTTTTGTTTTAGTTGATGATAAAGGTAATGACTTCTTCAAACAAATTAAGCCATTCTGTTCCTCTTGTTCTAAGAAATGTTGTTGTGAGACAAAATAATAGAGTCTAACATGAATGAAGTCTTAATTCATTTCTTTCATTTCTTATTTTTTAGTTATTCAAAAAATCATTTGCTTTGTTGTTTAAGGTTTTTTGTTTGAAAAGAAAAACAATATTCATTTTATTAATTTCTTTAATTTTTTATCTGTTGGAGGTTCTTTATAAAAGAAATGAAAGTAACGGATATTAACAAAAGTTTATTTTATGATGTTCAATTACTTTCTGTATTTTTAGTTATAAGTTATTAGATAGTTTTTAATATTTGCTCAACTGTCAATAAAATACTAAGTTAATAACATTTAAGATGTTTTATTGTAAATTGAAGGAACTTTTTTGAGACATGATGTTTAAATAAAAAATATTAAATAACAGCGTCAGTATGAGGTTCAAGTTGTGGGGTTATTGATTCGTTTTGAGAATGGATTATATTTATTTGAGTTATTGGGGTGATAATGTCAAGAGATTGTCTATTTTCACTTTCAGATTTTTCTTCATCTAATTCAGTGTAAGTAATTTCTTGTTGATTGTTACTTTCATTTTGTGTCTTTACAAAATCAATGGATGAAGGTGTGAATAACATCATTATTGAATTAATAACTCCCACTATCATAAGAATGTAGAATGGAAGGTATTGATTCAATGGATATGAAAATTCATTTGATAGTCCCCAAGACAACAAAGGAGAAATTATAATTGGACCAAGTACTCGAGTTGCGGAAACAAATGTTTGAGCAATTCCATTTGCAGACCCCATATATTCAACATCAGCAGCATTGACAAGAAGTGTTGAAATTGAACTAAATCCATTTTGAGTTACAAGGTTCCAACAGAAAGAAAAGGCACTATAAACTACCCATTTAATTGTTAATGAAGAACCATTAAATCCTTCTAATGAAGGGAAAATTCCATAAAACATAGAAGTACATATAATAGTCATAACATATGTTAAACGAAGTCCAAATATACGTACTAATGGTTTATAAAAGAAAAGTAGAGTTGTTAAACTTCCCAGACTAGCAACAGCAGCAAAATAACCAACCTCATTTGTTTTTAAACCAAAACCACCATTTCCAACTGAAGCGATCATAAGTAAAGGATAAATTGTCATAAATGTAGTATTTCCAAATCCATGAATTGAATAAAGAATAGAACAATAAATACTCCAAAAATTCTTTTTATTAAAGAATTTAAACATTCTCTTAAATGTATTTTTTAGAGAGTTAAGGATAGACAAACATTTGTTTTGATGTTCTTGTTTTTGTTCATGTTTTATAACATTATTTTCTAATAAATAAAAATATGCAAGAATTAATGCTATAAAACCAAATGAAGCAACAGACAATTGTGGTAATAATGCAGGAAATCTTTTAAAAATTGTTATTTTACCAAAAATTGCTGGGTATTTATTCACTGGGTCATAAAGAACTCCTCCAAGAAAACTTCCTATAACTGAGCCGATAGACCATGTTAATCCATTAAAACTAAATGCCTGAACTCTATTTGAATCATCAGTTATTTCACCCATATAAGCTTTAACAATACCTACAGTACCATTTAACATTCCATTTAAAAGTCTCATTGCAACAACAAAGTAATAATTAAATGAAAACCCAAAGAGGATATTTGAAATTGCAATACCAAATGTTCCTACCATTAACATAGGTCTTCTTCCTAAGTTATCTGAGAGTGCACCAATTATAAATGAACTTGTAAATTGTGCAATTGAAAATGAACTTATTAACCATCCACTGTAATTCCCCACTTCATTTAAGGAAGAAACAGTCCCCATATCAACAATAAGATATCCTACATATGCATTAAGAATGTTTTGAGAAATTCCTTCAATTAACAACATCAACAATAATGGAAATAACTTCTTTTTAGGAATTCCTTTTGGAAAGAAATTAATAAAATAATCTTTGATCCCTTGGCATAGAACCTCAATAACTCGAAGCATCAAAATAAGTATTTACTTTCACAGTTCTTTTTTTTAATGAGTTTTTAGTCCTCATCTCATTTCTTAGGAAAAAATTTTTAAACCCTTTTATATTAATCTTCTTGACAAAAAGAAGTTTTATTCATTTACCTTTGTTTTTTGTCAATACATGTAATTCATTGAAGAACCCCAATATACAACATAAAAAAGTAAAGTACAGTTATAAAATATGATCTTAAGAAAATGACAGTATTAATGCTGTTGTAATTTCATCAAAGAAACAATGACTTAAACTATGTTCATAAAATAAATAAACAATATAAATTGAATAAAAATAATATACAATGTAGAAATATGTCTAAAGCTAATCAGATCAAATTATTAATAAATTAATTATGTTATATTAAATTGATATAAGCATTATAAGTAATAAAATTAAAAACATTAATAAAAAGACTTGAAATATTAATTCATAATTCCCAATTCTTACAAAGAATAGAAATTTATTATTTTAATTTGAATGTGATTTAAACCAACCTTATAACAGAAGATAACGTCTTTAAAAGAAGTCGAATAATCACGTTTAATATTGTATAATTCTCTTATAAATATAAAGAGTTGGTATTTATTTGATAATAATACTTCCTTTTCATTTGAGACTAATGTCTTCATATAACAATATGTTTATAATACAGAATGTTTAGTTTTAATGAATTGACAAACATTTATTATGTTTTGAGTATAGTTATTTGATAATGATTATACTTTTGTTTTGTATTACTTGGTACTGAGAAAAAAAGACATTTTGAATAAGACTTCTTAAGTAAATGATATAACAATTAACATATTATGTTAAAGGCATTACTTACCTGTATAATTTAACTTTTTTTTAATCAACCATAAAAAACCACAATAACACAATTCAAGTATAAACTCAAACTTAGTAATAATAATTATTCACTATAATATAATCTTATGTACTAACTATAAAAGAAGATAATTCTTTCTTTTGTGATACTCAGTATTAGTTTGGTTTGATTTAGTTATTATATTTCCACTACATTTCAGTAAAAAAAAGAAAAAAAGATAAATAAACCAAGAATATAAGAAAGAAACACAACACTTTAATTAATCTTTTTTAAAGACAAAAAATCCTAAGTAAATGACAACACCAATGATAATGAGGAAAACAATTGCAAGGATGATTAAAAAGATTTTGTTACAAATAGCTCTTCTTAACATTCCTTTTAACGTTTTATCAGAAGTATCTAAATTGTCATTTACTTTATCCAATGAATCTTTGTCTTTTTCTAACACCTCTCTTTGTCTTCGTAATTCTTGAATAGAATCCATTTGTGTTGAAATTGTATCTTCAACAATAGCATTAGACATTTCAATGTCATAAGTTGCATCGTCTAATTTTTGGGTAGCATTTAACATTCTATCTTGATGACTCATTTCTTTTTATTTCACTTCTTCATTTTAAGTTCCTTTTCTTGAACTTTTTATTTAATAAAAATGTTATAAAAAACAAATTTAAGTTAATCTTTTTTATTTTATTTCTTTTTTTCAGTCATTTCATTTAAAATAAATCTAAAGAAGATGAATATCCAGATAATATCTCCACTATTAATTTCTGGAAAGGAATCTATGAAACTAACACTAATATAGATTTCCTGAATATTAATTTATATGAAATATTAATTGAAAATAGAATTAATGATAGAATGGCTATAATCACTCCAAATGAACTAGATTGTGATATTAAATTTACTGCTAATTTGAAATTAAAATGAAAATGATAAAATACAATGACTTTGGATTAAATATTTAGAACAACCAAAGAAATATTTATTAAAATTATTTAATGAATGGTTAAACAATCCTAATGAAATACCTCCTCACTTTATTCAAGGAAGAACAATATTAATATATAAAAAAGGAGATAAATTAGACCCACAGAATTACAGACCAATAACGTGCTTAAATTGTTTGTTAAAAGTATATACATCAATATTAAAGATGAAAATAGAAAATCAATTGATGCTAAATCAAATTGAAAAACAACTATCATTAAATCAAATTGGATGTAAGAAATATACATATGCATCAAAAGAAGGATTATTATATAACACTATAATCAAATATTTATTAATAAAGAATAAATGGAAGTGGGTAGAAACATACTATGACATATCCAAAGCATATGATAGTATTAATCATCAATGGATTAAACAATGCTTAATATATTTTAATATCCCACTAGCAGTAATTAATAATATATTATATATATTAATTAATACACATCTTAATTTATATTATAATAAAGAAAGTGTGGGTATAATTAATGTAGAAATAGGAATAATACAAGGTGACAGCCTATCTCCACTTTTATTTGTATTATCTATTGATATATTATCTAAACAATTAGATAAACAAATTAACAAATTAAATATTAAAATGAATGGAGAAGAAAAACAAGTCAAGTTAAACCACATATTATATATTGATGATTTAAAGATAATGACTAATAGTCTCGATGAAATGGAAAAAGCCCACAAATTAACTAAAGAAATATTTAATGCAATAGGATTAAAAATTAATGTAGAAAAGAGTGGGATAATGACTAATATTAATAATCAAATAAATGGAGAATTAGCTGAACTACCAAGAGTAACTAATGATAATCATTATAAATACCTTGGTATTGAAATATAAGATAAAATAAATATTAATAAATATTGTACAAGAATATTAAATGATGTATCTTCTATTTTATCATCATTAAATACTATGAAATATAGCATTCTCAATACAATAAGAAAGATTAATAGTGATATAATCTCCAAATTAAGATATGGATTTAGTATTGTCCAATGGAAACTAGGAGAGTTGGAGAAGATAGATAAACAAATTAGAAAATCATTGATACAACTCCAATTATACAGTAGAAATATCCCAAAAAGTAGATTATATGTTAAAATAAATGAATTGGGAATAGGATTAATGTCATCAAAAGATGAATGTGCTAAAGAATTATTAAGAATATATTTAAAATATAAGTGGAGATCAAACACAAGAATATGAGAAATGATAGAGGCAATAAAAGAAAATCCAAATGAAATAATTAAAAGAATGAAGAAAGCATTTGGTAAGAAGATTAATTTTAATGAATTAATGAATGTAATAGAATTAAATGAAAGAAAGCACGATATAAAGAATGTATTTTAATTGATAAATAATGAATTAAATGATAGATATTTAAATGAATGGAAAGAAAAGAAATGTGGAGAATATATAAGATGTGCAAATGGCACTTTCAATGATAAGAAATTAACAGTAGCCAGCCACATGGAGGTCATTAAATATAAAAAGAAATGCATTCCTCCAAATAATAAAGATGCAAGAAGGAGTAACTATGACAGGAAATATTAAATCAAAAATACTCCAAAATGATGATTTAAAATATTGTAAACAATGTCATAACACAATTGCATCTATTAGTCATATACTGTTATGATGTAATGAAAAAGAATCAAATATTAAAACATGATTATGTATGTAAACAAATATATAAACACATATTAATTACACATTTTAATGAATTTGATGCTATCGACTTTAATAATCCTCCTAAATGTATTAATAATGATGAAATGGTAATAACTTACAATAAAGATTTATTGGTTAGTGATAATTCTTTCCATGCTAGAAGATAAGTTATATATTATCAAAATATGAAAGAAAAGAAAGGATATATTATAGATGTTGTTATATGTCAGGATAATAATTTAGAATTAAATTATATTCATAAAATAAATAAATACAAAGAATTACAAGAGAAAATAAGAAATAATAGAGAAAGAATATATGTAGAAATAATACCTGTTATATTATCAATAAATGGATTAATACATTAAGAATCAGTAAGAAGATTAAAAGTACTGAAATTAAAATTAAACTTCACCAAAAATCCTATGAACAATAATTATCAAAAATATGAAAGACTTAATGTTTTACACATTCAATTCTGGCCGCACATTAGAAGAAGAACAATCTAATGCGAGCATGCTAGAAATGAACTCTATTACACCAATAGAGCATATTGACGAAACTGAAATAATCACTTCTCAATATTCATAAAATCCAATTGAGGATATATATAATAATTGACATTTTTTCATATTTTATTTATACTTCATTTGCTATTTATTATTCTTGCAATTTTACGTCTATCGTTCATTTCATTAATTGGGTTTTGTTTTTAATTTCTTCTTCTATTGCCTTAATGTCTTTTTCTTCATTGTCTTTTGTTTTTTCTTTAAACTCTTCTTTAGTTTTTCATTTATCTTTTTCTTTTTGATTGAATATACTTCTTGAAGAATATCATACCGTCTTTTTCTTCTTACCTTCTTACTTCTTGAGTATTTCTTTATATTCTCCTTTTCCCGTTCGTTTGTTTTTCATCTTTGTATACATTTATTGTTATTCATTTATATTTGTTATGGGTGTAATCTTTATTATTGTATTTATGTCGTTTCTTATTTGTTTTTCTTTATTTCTTTCGTCTTCTAATCCATTTTCCTTGGTATATTGTTTACCTTTATTATTATTTCTTTTCTATTTTTTGCTATTGACATTGAATTTTTTTAATGTATAACATTCGATTTCTATGTTTTGTTTGCATTTCTTTACAATACTCTAAGGTTTTACACAATAACCATGGCATTAAAACTTGATATATTTCTTTAATTGGAAAATATCTTCAAGTAAACAAAAATAAAGAAAATGAATAAATAAGAAAGAATGAAACATTGTTATATTTTCAAATTAATTGATAGTCAACATTAATATATTAATGAAATGAATGTTAATGAGAATAATTCAATTTAAATAAAATGAAATAAAAATAATGATAAATAATTAATATTTCAATGAATAAAATATCATCTAACATTCCTATTTCATACATTAATTAATCAGTTCATTAATTATTCATTTTATTTAAATTATTGTTTATT